TATGTAAACTGAATGTATGGGCGGACATGGGGCGGGACTACTTTGCATTATTTGTATCGGTGAGGTTTGCCGTTACCCCAGAGGGCTGACCAATGTGTCTTTTGTAAAAATGACTAAGGCCTTGTTCACACCTAGGCGTTTTGTCTTGCGTATTTGTCAGCACTGAAATGCTCAAGACAAGAAATACCATTTATTTCTATGCCCCTGTTCACACCTGAGCGTAGCAAAACACCTGTCGCTGAAAAAAGTACATGAGCTTCTTTCTAGCACATTACAGTGCGTTTTGACCCCATAGACTCAACAGGAAATGCTTGGAAATGTGCAACACAATTATTTTGCATGTGTTTCACACGTGTTTTCCCATTTACATCAATGTGTCACATTCTGCCCACAAAAACCCTTAGTGTACGTGCGTAAATGCGTGCAAAAACAAGCAAAATTGTGCAGCAAAAACACGAACAGATACGTACGATAAAGCTGTCGTCCAGGTGTGAACGGGGCCGAAAATGAAGCTGCTGCAAATACTAAAATGAACCAGACTGCCACTACTCGTGATGTATAGGAGAACATGACTGTGATTTCTTCACCACGGGTAAGTCCCCACCAATGTAGCACAACTAGAGCTGGGCCGAGGGCTGGCCTGATTGGATACTGATTTATTGGATATATTAAGTAGGTCCTCAGATTACATCGTTTTGGTAAATCTAAAGTTGTATGATCAGATTGTAAAGTGTATGGTGAGTTTAAAAGTTACCATCCACTATAAGGGCGTGTTCACACGACGTCCGGATTCTGTGCTGACCGGATCCGTACGCTCCTGCACTAAAAATGCATCCCAATGTATCCCTATGTGCTTTATGGGCTACAGTTGTCACGTGCGCAGACCGTTCAGGTCCAGAAAGAAAAATACTGCATGTCACATTTTGTGCGGTCAGGATACGGTCCGGAAACGCAATACGCGTCAAAAACGCACTGCAGCTAACATACTAACAGTCCCACTCCAGCAAAAAAACAATTTTTTTTTTTTACTGGAACGCGTCCAAAAACATAGCACCGCGTCTGCAGATATGCTCAGGACTGGATCTGGAGCAGATCTGCAGACGTGGTGCTGTGTGTTGTTGATACGTTCCAGGGCTGTCAGTATGTAAGCTGCAGTGCGGTGCGTTTTTGGCGCGTTTTCATTGCGCGTTGGACGCGTTCGTGTGTTTCCGGACCGTATCAGGACCGGACAAAAATGTGACATGCAGCATTTACTCTGTCCGGACCGGAACGGACTGTGCACGTGAGAACTGTAGCCCATAATACACATAGGGATACATTGGGATACATTTTGGGTGCATGAGCGCACGGATCTGGTCCGGACAGAATTCGGACGTAGTGTGAACAGGCCCTAAGATCTGATTGTACATTCTCCTTTAGATCTGCCACCAATTATGTGGTGCAAGGGTCTGCATGATTGGAGACAGACTGAAAGGGTTATCCTTACATTACAAAGATCTGGTAAATCTGAAGGAGATTGTACCATCTGATTGTATAGTCTTTGGCCAGTTTAACTGCAATATGTATATAAACGGTGGTAACCTGAAGCGGGTATAACAAGACCACAGCTTCTGCAGCAGGTATAATTTTTTACAGAGTGGTGCCTGGATGTCACATACAAGGGTTTAGGCAATTATAAAGCTGCCCGATCACGTGTATGGTGCTTGAGTACTATGCACCCCCTCCCCTGCCAGTTATCCCGGCCTCTGCTGCCCACTGTGCATGCAAGGGACCATTGTGGCGGGTCTGTGTACCTCAAACAGAGGGATATCAGCACACTTTCAGTGAATGATCTCCCCTCTGATGACTGAAAGTGGAAGTGATGTGTATTACACCACTTCCAGCTTCAGTGTGTCATTTCTCTGGCTGCTGTAACTGGAGAAGAAGCTGATGAAGTATGATCTATGTTTCATCAGCTTCTTTGGGGTCCCTAGGTGACATCAGAGTCTAATAGTCCCCTGATGTCTCCATAAAGAGGACCTGTCACTGTATCTGTGCGATCACATAGGGGGATTGTGTTCCCCTAATGCGATAGCACAGATACAAGGGGGATTGTTATCCCCCTATGTGATACCAGGGGGGCTTGTTAGACCCCTATGTGATACCAGAGATACTACAGGGGGGCTTGTTAGCCCTCTATGTGATACCACGGTTACTACAGGGGGGCTTGTTAGCCCTCCATGTGATACCAGAGATACTACAGGGGGGCTTGTTAGACCCCTATGTGATACCAGAGATACTACAGGGGGGCTTGTAAGCCCTCTATGTGATACCACGGATACTACAGGGGGGCTTGTTGGACCCCTATGTGATACCAGAGATACTACAGAGGGGCTTGTTATCCCACTATGTGATACCACAGATACTACAGGGGGGCTTGTTATCCCACTATGTGATACCACAGATACAGGGGAGCTTGTTTGCTGCGTATGTGATACCACAGATACAGGGGGGCTTGTTAGCTGCTTATGTGATACCACAGATACCGGGGGGCTTGTTAGCCCCTTATGTGATACCGCAGATACAAGGGGGCTTGTTAGCTGCTTATGTGATACCAGAGATACAGGGGGGCTTGTTATCCCACTATGTGATACCGCAGATACAAGGGGGCTTGTTAGCTGCTTATGTGATACCACAGATACCGAGGGGCTCGTTAGCTGCTCATGTGATACCACAGATACAGGGGGGCTTGTTAGCTGCTTATGTGATACCACAGATACAGGGGGGCTTGTTAGCTGCTTATGTGATATCACAGATACAGGGGGGCTTGTTAGCTTCTTATGTGATACCACAGATACAGAGGGGCTCGTTAGCTACTTATGTGATACCACAGATACAAGGGGGCTTTTTAGCCCTCTATGTGATACCACGGATATTACAGGGGGGCTTGCTAGCCCTCTATGTGATACCAGAGATACTACAGGGGGGCTTGTTAGCCTTCTATGTGATACCACGGTTACTACGGGGGGGCTTGTGATACCACGGATATTACAGGGGGGCTTGTTAGCCCTCTATGTGATACCAGAGATACTACAGGGGGGCTTGTTAGCCTTCTATGTGATACCACGGTTACTACGGGGGGGCTTGTGATACCACGGATATTACAGGGGGGCTTGTTAGCCCTCTATGTGATACCAGAGATACTACAGGGGGGCTTGTTAGCCCTCTATGTGATACCAGAGATACTACAGGGGGGCTTGTTAGCCCTCTATGTGATACCAGAGATACTACAGGGGGGCTTGTTATCCCACTATGTGATACCACGGTTACTACAGGGGGGCTTGCTAGCCCTCTATGTGATACCAGAGATACTACAGGGGGGCTTGTTAGCTGCTTATGTGATACCACAGATACAAGGGGGGCTCGTTTGTCCCCTATGTGATACCACAGATACAGGGGGGATTGTTAGCCCTCTATGTGATACCACGGATATTACAGGGGGGCTTGTTAGACCCCTATGTGATACCAGAGATACTACAGGGGGGCTTGTTAGCCCTCTATGTGATACCATGGTTACTACAGGGGGGCTTGTTATCCCTCTATGTGATACTAGAGATACTACATGGGGGCTTGTTAGCCCTCTATGTGATACCACGGTTACTACAGGGGGGCTTGTTAGCCCTCTATGTGATACTAGAGATACTACATGGGGGCTTGTTAGCCCTCTATGTGATACCAGAGATACTACAGTGGGGCTTGCTAGCCCTCTATGTGATACCAGAGATACTACAGGGGGGCTTGTTAGCCCACTGGCTCTTGCACTATTGTTGTTGGCAGATCTAAAGGAGATTGTACAACCACAGCGTTCTGGTAGTGTGCGATTAAGGGCAGGTTCACACCATTTTCTGGACCAGATCTGGAACGCGGTGCATTGCGTTTTGCTGCATTTGTACAACAATTTTCTTATTTAACATGATTTTGCCACATTCTGGAGCTGTTTCTTTAAGCTTAAAATGGTCTTTCAGGTGCGCCCAGTGCGTTTGCAAGCATTTGTATGCGTTTTGAATGTGTTCCAGTGCATTCCAGAACAGAGAAAATGAGACAAGCCATATTTCTTTTGTCTGGACTGGAACGGACTGCGCTGGTGTTCACAGAGCCCAGAATGGGATGCTTTTTGGGTCCGGGAACAAAAATGGTCCTGGAAATGATCCTGACACGGTGTGAACAAGCTTTTAAAAAGTATGGCATGCAAACCGCATTGCACTGCGATGAGCCCATAGAACTTAATCCAGAACTCCGGGTAAAATTGTTCTTAACCTGTGCATTAGGGGATACCCCCACACTGCAAGGGTTAACTGCTCATTTTTGTCTAGGTTCAAAAATAAAAGTTATACTCACCTGATCCTTGGAGCCAGCTGGCTCTTAGACCAGTCCCTTCTTCCTCTCTCCCCCTCCGCTGCAGCAGTCTAAGGTCCCATAAATCATCACGCTCTATATACAGTGTGGACATACCATTGCTGCAAGGGAGGAGAGAGGCTGGAGGGAGCACTGTCCCAACCTCCTGGTTGGTATAACAATTTTTGACCCTAGGCAAAAATCAGCATTTAACCCTTAGTCGCACTGCAAGGGCTAAGAAAAATTTGACTCAGAGTTATTCTTTAATAAAATGTCACTTGGGACATCTCAATAAAGTTATAAAAAAAAGGAAAAAAAACAGCGAGATGCGGCTCAATGGAGGCCTCGTCCCTATCCCGGCACAGACACACCAGGAGCCCTGAGGTTTGTGTGAACCTAGTAACATGACTCAGCAGGAAGAGCACTTGTGTTTCCCGAGGCAGAGGGATCGGAGGGTGTATGGCGAGCTGGATATAAATGTGTACAGGAAGTCACTGCACATCTCCTATCACAGCCATCCCCCCCCCCCCCCCGATCAGTATACAGGTATGGTATGGCTATGGACTCTACAGGCGGATAGGCCCCGCCTACTTCCTTTTCCCTGTCACTGACGTCACGTCCAGCACTTTAAAGTGGATGGTGATTGGCCAGTTCCCGTACACTGAACAGACATGGCAGCGGCGGCTAGGTTGTGGATGACTTCTCGGTGCCTTTTGGCCGGTTCCCGGGCCTGGCTGTCCGGTGTACAGCGGACAAGGAGCTGGCTGCAGCCCGCGGCGGCTCGCCCCTACAGGTAATACCCTGGGTGCTGGGTTGTTTATGGGAGTCGCTGTGTAGCGGTGTCTGTCCCTATAGGTGTGTGTGTTGTGTAAGGCGGCTGGTCATGGCTTAGTGTGACCCTGTGACGGGTCACCTCGGTGCTGCTGCCTGACCTTCCGGGACTTTTAGTGCTCCAAGCTGTACTTGTGACAGTTTAGTCCCACCATTATAGTCAGCGTGTGTTGCTGTAATATGATGGGGATCAAGCTGATGTTTTTTACTTCATGGGCTCATATAAAGTGCAGGTTGTTCTACCCAGTCCCCCCCTCGCCATGTGCATTCTTCTGATTGACAGCTGTCAGTGATCCGAGGTGCTATGATAAGTCCCCAGATATGGAACATTATGGGGGCTCCCGGCTCTATCATGGCTGTCAGTGATGAGAGGTGCTATGATCAGTCCCCAGATATGGAGCATTATGGGGGCTCCCGGCTCTATCATGGCTGTCAGTGATGAGAGGTGCTATGATCAGTCCCCAGATATGGAGCATTATGGGGGCTCCCGGCTCTATCATGGCCGTCAGTGAGGGGGGGGGCTTTGTGGGCTCCCGGCTCTATCATGGCTGTCAGTGATGAGAGGTGCTATGATAAGTCCCCAGATATGGAACATTATGGGGGCTCCCGGCTCTATCATGGCTGTCAGTGATGAGAGGTGCTATGATCAGTCCCCAGATATGGAGCATTATGGGGGCTCCCGGCTCTATCATGGCTGTCAGTGATGAGAGGTGCTATGATCAGTCCCCAGATATGGAACATTATGGGGGCTCCCGGCTCTTATCATGGCTGTCAGTGATGAGAGGTGCTATGATCAGTCCCCGGATATGGGACATGGAGGGGACTGTTAGTGATCAGAGGTGCTATGATCAGTCCCTGGATATGGGATATGGAGGGAGCTGTTAGTGATCAGAGGTGCTATGATCAGTCCCCGGATATGGGGCATAGAGGTGGCTGTCGGTGATCAGAGGTGCTATGATCAGTCCCCGGATATGTTCATGGAGGGGGTTCCCGGCTCCATCACGGCTGTCCGCCTCTCACTGCAAACTACAACAAGTCAAGGACTGCGCTACTGCTCATTAACGTGCATTCACTTCCAAACAATGTGTACATTTTCATAAACATAAATTTTCCAACATATTAATATTCAGTATGACAATATTCGATGCTAGTCCTTCGTAAATCCGTATAAAGTGCTTTTGTGCAAAATCCACAGTGTGACAATGATCCTCTGAAATAAAGTGCTCCTGACTCTCGATGTGTTAAATAACTGAGAACACACTCACCAGAGATCCACGGCCATATAATCTCATGGTCAATAGGTGTAATTGTGGTGAGTATCTTTCATGGATGGGATAATCACTCTTCTGATTAAACAAATCCTCCTTTTTTTATATTACACGGCGGGTGCCGCTCACTCAGCGATGGGAGAAATCCAATATAAAAGAGGAATAAATGCGCCAAATGGTGAAGTACGTGGAAGAAATTGGATTTATCGCAACTTTTTAAGACATTTTACATTTTTTTGGAGATGACAGGTCCTCTTTAAGGTGACATTAGAGGTCTCTTAGACCCCTAGTGTTGCCTTTTCAGCTGGGGAATGATGGCTGCCTCACAGCTGAATGTAAACATAGCAGACAGTGGCTGGGAGCAATGGGCAGCCTGCTATTGGCTATTTCAAACTGTAGGAGCAAATAGCAGGCTGGCTATTGCACCTGCTTGCTGTCAATCAGCAGAGAAGGGACCTGAAGGAGAAAGTTCTTCTTCAGGTCCACCTCTGCTGATTTGACAGCAGGCAGTGGGTGGGTGCAATAGCTAGCTTGCTATTGGCTACTGCAATTTAAAATGGCCAATAGCAGGCTGGCAGCTGGATTGAAAACCCATCACGGCTGGCAGCAGGGCGGCACAGCTGGAGGGCCGATGGTAGCAGGCAGTTGGGGTGTTGGCGGCACCGAGGAGCTGTACTTTTTTTTGTTTCTTTTCCCACTGATGCTGCCGCCACAATAACTCTGCTGTTCTCCTCCCCGCTGCAGACTCAGACTGTCGGCGTTTCTCTGCACAGGCTGTAATCGTCTAAAGTGATCTATGTCCCCTCTGACACAGACCGTTGTAGCCGATTACAGCCTGTCAGAGAACGCTGACAGTCTGCAGTGGGGAGGAGAACGGCAGAGTTATTGTGGTTACAGTGGGAGAAGAAACGCAGGTATAGTGAATGGGCTGACAAAAGCCCGGCGCCAGGACACAATTTATAGTCTCTTTGGTGACCTGGCGTCCGCGATTTGTTGAGCCCTAGTTTAAGGGCTTGAGTTCGGATCATGTTAAGAATTACAGATGATGTTGAGAGTATGTAAAGGATCAGGAAATGTTAACTCAGGGAATTTAGTAAGTAGATTATAAATTCTCAATCCCTTCTCAGAAATGCATAGTGTGTGTGTGTGTGTGTGTGTGTGTGTGTGTGTGGTTTATGTAGGTTACAGTCAGGTCTCGCTCCATGTTAGATTTTGTTATGTGACCCCCATGAGATTAGGCCTGCATGTCTTCCATACAAATCCATGTACAATAGTCAAAATATTTTACTGCCAAATAATTTTTGCCAGTTAGACCGGTTTGGAAGTGATCCGTTAAAGCAGGGCTCGAAATTTCCACTCGCCTGCTCGCTTTTGGCGAGTAAAAATAAAGTGAGGGCGAGTGGAAATTTGGGTCTCCAAGTACTGGTCCGCGAGCTGGTACTATGTGGCCAGCTGACATGTCAGGCACGTGATCGCAGACCGCGTACCTGACTTGCGGGAGCAGCTCCAGGGTCTGCATCTGTGGCAGATGCAGACCGCAGAGCTGCTCCTGTCAGCTCCGGCTCCCTTGGGCCAGAGCTCTGACAGTTCTGAGCATCATCGATCCCTGGTTATCTGATTGTTGTACGGTCATTAAAATTTTGTACGATCTGCCCATCTTGGACAGGCAGATCGTACTTGCGATCATTGCAAGTCCTACCCGCTGAGGGGCGGGTTTCCAATGAATGCAGTGCTGAGCGGGCAGTGTGCGCTTGCGCACACAGGCCTGTGCGGCATTAGTCTTCCGACCACGCCACCAACCCGCCAAAAATCGTACGATTTTCGGCAGGTTTTCGAGCGTGTTTGGAAGATTAAAGTCGTACGACCTTACAGTAGAAGCGGTCGCATGCTGCCCATACGCCTGCCGATTATCGTACGATCGCAGGATCACCCGCAATTATCGTACGTTACTCGGCAGGTGTATGGACACCTTTAGTGTATGTGTATATTAGCCCCCATTCACACCTACAGTATATTTCAGGTGTGATTAGCGATTCCTGTGTCAGGAACTTGCGTTTTCCTGCAGCAGGAATCCCTAATCTGCCGTTTACAAGCGGCAACTATCAGAAGATAAGAATTATCATAAGATTAAAAGAGGGTGTGTTTAGGGGCGGAGTTAAGGCTGGGGCAGGGTAAGGGTTAGGTGGGGCACCTGGTGGCTAGTAACTCTTAAGGCCTGGCTAGTAGCTCAGGACTTGAAATTTTGAGCCCTGCGTTATGGTAACTAGCAGCTGAGACCATATCACTATGTTTGATATGTTTTGTTAGCATAGAACAGAGGTGGACACATTTCTACATCAGAAATGTGATATGTTATGGGCTTTCTGATTGTGCTGTCCGCTGGCTGGCTGGGATAGGCAGGCTGTCTTCTCTCTCGCTTTCTTGTGCAACCCCCATCTCCTAGCGCATTCCACTGACTTCTGTTTTTGCAGGACATGCTGTCATTTGTAGTACTCCATAACTGATGTGATAGTAAGTAAGTAAACTCTAGTGTAATTTTTGTGGAGCTTCAGCTCCTAGCATGCTTTGCTAAGATAACCAGCTAAAAGTCTGCGAATATGGTCCTAATACAAGACAGCTGTGTAATTTTACTTGAACCTTGCTGTGCTTTGTGGATTTCTTCTAGATCTGTACAGTAATCCAGAGTGAGACTTTTCCTCTGTGCAGGAGCTTCCGATAATAAAGACCAGTCACTGTTGCTCCCTCTCCTTGTGCAGGGTGACTGGTCTTATCTCCGCCCCCCTCCTGTAGTGTTTTTTTTTTTTACAGACAGCCTGTAGTGAATTGGTCCCCCCCAGCCCTCTTCCCAGGCTATGTGCAGCACAGTGACATTTAGAGCTGCAGCTAACGATTATTTTCAAAATCGATTAGTTAGCCGATTATTAAGTTCGATTAATCGGTTAATCGGATAAACAATAAAATAAATGTTAAAAAATGGCTCCACTGATGGGACTACTAGTTTGTATTGAGATTGCACTCCATCACTGGAGTAAGCTTGGGGCGGTGGAATAAAAAAAAAAAAGAAAAAAGTGTGGTGTGCAATATATAGTGAAATGGAAAGTGTAAAATTATACAGCAATCAATGCAGAATGGCACTGGCTATAGAGGACTACAAATCCCAGCAATAGTACAATATACAGCGCAATGCAGAATATCACCAGCTATAGAGGAGCACAATAAATCCCAGTAATAGAACATTATAGCTGGCGGTATTCTGCATTGCGCTGTATAATGTACTGTTGCTGGGTTTTGTAGTCCTCTATAGCTAGTGGTATTCGGCATTGCACCACTGTATAATGTATTATTGCTGGGATTTGTTGTGCTCCTCTATAGCTGGTGGAATTCCGCATGGCGCTGTATAATGTATTATTGCTGGGATTTGTACTCCTATATACAGCGCAGTGCAGAATATCACCAACTATAAAGGAGTACAACAAATCTCAGCAATACATTATACATGCAGTGTACAATGTATTGCTGGGATTTGTATTCCTCTATAGCTGATGGTACAATGCTCTACGTAATATACAGCACAACGTACCATCAGCTATAGAGGAATACAAATCCCAGCAATACATGATAGAGCACCATGTGTGGGAGTGTGCAGGCTTACCTGAGCAGTCTTCCAGCAACTTTCTTCTGAGATCGGGCCTGTCCATTGTCGGCTGTCATCCCCCCACACCTGCTCCTCCTTACTACATCTCCCTGCGTCCCTGTGCCGATCGTGGAGTGTGAGGCGGGAAGGAGGTGCGGCGTGTAGAACGTGGATGCGGGTCTGGCAGCGGTGAGCGTGAGTTGGGGAAAAGGTGCGGCGCGCAGTGTGTGTGGCCAACTGATCGGAAGCCGATTAATCGATTATTGAAAAAGTTGACAACTTTTTCAATAATCGATTATAATCGATTATGTCGATTAGTTGTTGCAGCCCTAGTGACATTACTTTTTACAATGCTATGTTACCTTTATTTAGAGCTCAGGGCCTCCATTTTTCTGGCCTGGGGTGTCTGTTGTTGTGTTGCTCCTCCCGACGCTGGCGGTGCAGATAAGAAGACAGCGCTGTGGTCGTGCGACCTCTGATAAGTTGTTTTTGCTTTGTGTATTGGCAAAAAGTAGTTTCTTAATAAAGTACAATCTATGTTCTTCTGGCACTACACGCAATGAAAGCTTTTTCCATTCCCTGAGCGGTCTCCATTAATCATGACATCTATTCATTGTTTACATTGTGGCCCTTGGCAGGAAGTTCACTCCTTTCCTATACGTAACGGTCATGATAACTTTGCTCTGGGTTCACTTTATTCCTATAGGCTGCATCACACCTATGCATTTCATATTCTGCCTTCTGAAACTGCATGGGGCATGTTATGTTAGGTTTTGCTGTGCCCTGCCATTCCCATTAATAGGCCCTTTAACTCTTGTGGACGGATCCAAAAACCAGAAATGAACTTTTTCAGCCAACGCATGGAACAAATGTGAGCTAGCATGATTAAAACCAATGGCAAACCTCTGTATATGCGTCTAACGTGTGACTGGGCCTTTAGGTTCCATTCACACATTAGCGGTTTTCCTAATCATAAAAACCAAATCCAATGTATCTTGTTCACACCTGCTCAACGTATGCATAGGAACGTGGATTCCGCACGTTCCGGCTATAGTAGCCGCAAACACGCGGAATCTGCGCGTATGTTCGAAACCGCGCAGCAAATGCTATGTGTGAATGGAGCCTGACATTTGTCAATTGAAGGCTAAAATGATATTAAAGTCCCAATATTTTTAAGCTATTTCAAATGCTGATGAAATCACTTACGGCGGATGCTGCTCCTTGATGTTTAGATTCCTGCAGAATCAGCTGCTCCCCCTGATATCCTGTTTTTAGGGGTTTCTTTCCCTTTTACAGGGTCCTACGGAGCCACCCTTGTGTGTGTGCTAGTAAGCTGTGTGTGTCTCTACAAACCCACAGACACAGCAAGGCAATCCTCACCCCTGCTCCCCACTCCTCCCTCCTTCCTTCTGCCAGCTAGTAGATGGACAGCTGCTGGAGACTGTGCCCTCCCTTGTAATCTGTACTGGACAGGAAGTTCAGGGGAGTTGATCTGAGAGAGTTGGAGCTGTTCAGAAACATGATGATTAAGTGTTTACTTTTAGCAATACATTACTAGGCTTATTTTGTTCGATCTGGATTCATTATTGAAAAAAGAGGGAAGATGATTAACTCTTTCAGGGTGGCTACCCCCCCAAACTGCAAGGGTTAAATCATCTCTTCCACACTGTCTAGGAAGGAAAATAATGTTATAGTCACCCGATCCTCTGATCGGCTTGCTCTTAGACCAGTCCCTGTAGCCTCTCTCCCCCTCCACTGCAGAGGCCTAAGGTTCCGTAAATCATCACACACAGTGTATAGGATATAAGGACACTGAGTTACATTCCATTGCTGCAGCGGAGGAGGAGACAGGATGGAGGGAGCGCTGTCACAATCGGCCAGATTGGGGGAGTGTGTCTTTTTCTTCAACTCTTGGCCAAAAGCAGCAATAAACCATTGTAGTGCTTGGGAAGCCCCACTACAAGAGTTCATAACTATTGCTTTAACCTCCCTGGCGGTATGATGTTTAATTTTTTTCATGTCTTTTTTCGGTCTATTTTTTATTGAATTTTTTTCGTATGTCGTTTATTTCGTTTTTGTTTTTTAATATCCTGCCGGTTCTGCTCCCCTGCGACGCGTACGCTCGCAAGCGACGGAAGCCGGCATCGGCCGCAGAACACAGCGCGGCTTGAGGGACAAGGTAAGTAAATGCTATGCGGCTTTCCCGAGTGTAGCTCGGGGTTACCGCTTATGGTATGGGGATAACCGCCAGGGAGGTTAATGATGTCTAATTCCTGCTGTCAACCTAGAGCTTGACTTTTCTTACAAGGGGAGCAAGAGCTAACAGACCAGCCTGACTGACAATGAGGAATCTTTAACACTTGTTCTGTGGGTATGCATGCTAAAACGCAGCTTTGTAATGCATGGCAATACTGATGAGTCCTGCGTTGTTAGCAAGTGGAAATCTTTAACGGATATATTTCACAATGTGTGTTAGAAGCCTCTGATGAAAGCTTCCACTGGCTGACTTTCAAGCACCAGGCTAATTTTGAGATGATTCCTCGAGTTGTAGAATAGCAAGTTCATGACCGATTCCTTGAAGATTGTCCGTCAAATATGTGCACACATAAAGGATTGCAGTGTGGAATAGATAGTCAGATAACCGCTTAAGAGGTGGGACATGAACCATGTCAGACAAGTGCAACTGAATCTGAAATGTTTTTTTTATTTTAGATGGAGTGCAGAGGGATTAGACCACCTGTCAGGCTTTTATTGCTGTCTGTGCCACATTAGGGAGATTCTCTCTATTTTTCCCTGGTAGCTGTTGTCACTGAAAGGGAAAGCAAACACTTTGGGTTGTCATTAGAACAGGAATAGATAGGAAATCTTCCAGTGGGGACACTACTGGTGACCCTGCTGACCAGTAGAGATTTCCCTCTTTTGAGGGATTTGCTCTCACTTCCTGTTGTGGCTATTGGACAGGAAGTAAAGGGCATTCTCCCCAATGAGACAGATGGCAAAAAAAAAGCGGACAGGGGGTCAAAATCCTCCCATACACTATCCAAAATGAAAACAAAATTGTCTTCAGCTCTACCTTTTTAAGATTTCCAGTTGTAGCATACCTAATAAGCATCTTCACTTACCGGCATGGATTGGCCGAGGGCGGTAAATTCATCGTAGTCTATTAATACCACTAGTCTTTCCCTGATCCTCTGCTAAATGACAGGCCTACGTTCTCTGTTGGAAGGGGCTTATGATCTTGGTAAAATGGAATCTCTGACCAACGCCCCAAGGCAGAACACACTTCTACTTGACATGGTTGGCATAATGTCCAGAAGCTCTGCGGCCTGTAAACTGAAGGCAAATGTTCCTTGCTTATGGCTGTGGGATTGCCTTGGAATGTGTGCACTGAACACAAGGACTGCAGCATCCAGCCATGATGAATGACACTGACTATTAGTACCGCGTTATCGGACACACCTTGGTGGCAGTTATGTGACCGGTTTGATGGATTCATTTCTGATTATGAATGTGTCTATATAAGTTTGTCATATTCAACTAAGCGAATATATTCTAATCGCTGAAACATTTCTTCATTTTTGGTAAAATGGGTTCCCTTTTTTATTCTCTTGCAGCTCAGATGGAACGGTGACAGTGAAGTTTATAAATCGGGATGGTTGCACACTTGTAACAGAGGGGAAAGTAGGAGAGTCCCTCCTGGATCTTGTTGTGGAGAAGAACTTGGACATTGATGGTTTTGGCAAGTATACATGCTTTGTTGGTGGGACACTTTACCTACTTATTGGTCCCAGAGGTATAACTGGGGGTTGTGGTCCTTGGGTTAGTCCCCATTCACACTAAGGTGTTTTACCTAAGCGACAAAACACAAGGAATCCCATTCATTTCTATGGCCCCTGTTCACACTTGAGTATTTTGTCGCAAGCAGAAAAACACCTGTCCCAGGAAAATGTACGTGAGCTACTTTTTGGCAGATTACAAACTGCTTGCAACAAAACGCTCAGGTGTGAACAAGGGCCATAGAAATGAATAAGATTCCTTGTCTGGAGCGTTTTGTTGCGCTTGGCTTTGAGCGACAAAACATGCAGGTGAACTTGTATGCAAATGATAACTATTAAGACTGTTAACCATTCACCTGGTGTAGACAGTAAAAGAATGGAGAAAATGCTCGTGAATTCTAGAGAAATCTCTTCTCTGGGCTCTCTCTCCTGTACTAGACATGTGACCGGAAGCCAAGACATTTGTTCTTGGACTCTGCTGAAGGTAAGGTGCAAGTAATTTGAATTCATAGCCATCAAATTAGCAAAGCCTAGTTGTTGGTCATGTGACTAGCACTTGAGGGATCCCTGAACAAAATTTCCCACAGGAAAAATTAGTACTTCAACCCTTCTATTTAAGGGCAGGACTTCTAGCTTTTCCTTTTAGGCCAGCTATAGACAATGGACATAGGATGTCTTCATCTGTCACATGCTTGTCCTATAACCATGCACACTAGTCTCTGCCAGTGCTCTAATATGTGAGCATTTCAAGAAGTGGTTGGGGGAGTTGGGTGTGGTATATGGAACATTTGACAGATGCCCCAAACGCTTAATGGCTGTCCATCAATGCAGAATTCTGTCCTCCAAATCCTTCTAAGGGGGCCCCAAGCCTGGTTTCCATGCACTGATGATGTGATGGGCAAAAGCAATTTTGCATGAATGGCTCTATATTTGCACTATACATCATCTGTTCTGGATGTTCATCTAGCTGATGGGGCGTGAAGCAGCATGGCTTTGTCCTGAAATGAGGATTTTTCCCAGACATTGTCCAGGGCAGCATCTGAGAGATGGGATCCTCCCACTTGAAACAGAAAATGCATCATCCACAATTAGAATAAAAAGCGCGGTCCCTCCTAACCACCTCCCAGTATTTTGTGTTTCCTCCGGCCGAAGAGGAGCATCGCAACGTTTGTTATTTTACTCCAGGGCTATCGTGCTAGATAGCAGGGGCCTCTTGAGGCATGCGGCTCTCACTCGCAGGGTCTCATGCACAGGACATTTCCCAGGACTGGTCCCCCCAGAGTCCTTACAAAGAATGTTTGCCCAGAGGTTGCCCTCGATAATGGAAGGAGATTGCAACCATCCTCGCTGGTGTAGTGTCTCCAGATGGAGTTCCCCGGAGTGTCCTGCTAAAGGAATTGACGGATGACCTGATGGACTCTCTGGCTGGCAGCAGAGCTGGGTCACAGCAGGACACGAATACTGTGCCTTATCGGCAATCCACATCAGCAAGCAGGGGCACCAGGAGTGGGAGAGGAGTGTGAGTCCAAACGGCAAGGGTGTGCACACCCGTCGGACTCTTCACCACAGGCTGCTTCTCCCATTCTGGGGGTTCAAAGCGCCAGCTCCAAGGTAGGCGAGTCTACAGTTGAAAAGTCCCCCCTACCTGTACCCTTCTTGCTCTGGGGGCCTGCTTCGGTGGGGCAAAGGGTACTTGGCTCAATTTATGCACCTCCCAATGGGTCTCTCCAGGGGGGGTGCAGCTTGGTCTCAGGTGGCAGGCTCTAAGCCCTTCCCTCGGAGGATAAGGCCCTGCCAGCAGAAGCCAACACACCCTAAGATGTGCTTCCTTCATTGACAAATTGTTTTTATTTCCGGGCCAAGCTATTCTGCCAGATCTGTGTATCTCCAAGGAGAGGCATGCATGAGAGAGAGTCCATGGTCATATCTCCCTCACACAGAGAGGATCTGGCTCCCCAGGGACTGGGGATGGATCCTGGCAGTATCTTATTTAGGACAGCCCGGCTGTTCCACCTTTTTTTTCTTTGGATTTTTGCTGCACTCTCCCCTCTAATATACACCTTGTACTGGAAAGTATTCCTTGCAGCGTTGGTGTCATAGAAATCCATGGAATGATTTATGTTGTGGACACCTCCGGACAATCTTGGGGCTCCTACCTCTTGGGCAGCAGTGTGTGTGTGTGTCCCCTTACCTCTGGTGCCTCATTTTTCCCTCTAGGGTTAAAACCTGATAAGACTCTAGGTATTCGGCATTAGCTGATGAAACAAATAAGCGGATATGCTATAATCTTATCCCACCAGAATAAGACGACTAGTAATGTTTTTACTGCCGTGCCAGAAATCCTTGCCTATCATCTTTAATACAGCAGAAGTGTGTGTGGTACCTCTGCAGAAATTGAGGTGGATAAAGGCAATTACATGCGTTATATAAAATTAAAAAAAAATATATAACATAATATAAATAGATTATTCAAATACTCTGTATCTGTGCATCCCTAATCAAAACTGTATTGGTCTGTGCTAAATAGCGCTTCCCAGTGGTCAGCGTGGTCCCCAGACCACGCTGACCAATGAGTGCTTGCAATTTGTGAGCGAAATTCAAAATGAATAGGGCAGGACTGCGCTGGACAGTACGGGGTAAGAACAGTACACCTGTACCGGCGGAGGGTAAGGACTGTGTGCCGAAAGGTAAGTATAGCCGGGGGGTTTTGGGAGAGACTGGGGCCAGATTTGATCGGGTAATTCCATTTTCCCATATTACCTGGGAAAGTGAACTTGCCCTTTAATGCACATTGTGCGTGTGAGAGAGTTCTGCTGCCTCTCTACCACAATACGGCACAGTGAAATGGCGGCAGCACTCAACGCACACACACAATGTCCTATGCGTGCGTTTATTTGCATGCAGATGGCGGGGGCAGCGGGGTTTTTTTTTTTTTTTCCTTTTTTTAAAAATAATTTTTTGTACTTTTTCATAACTTTTTAAAAATTTTTATAATCCCCCCCACCTAATTTTATTCCTATCACATAGGGATTTAAAATCCTCTAAGTGATAGTTTGGAGGTGACAGGTTCTTTTTATGGAACCTGCCCTCCAACACAGAACTGATGTTCTGTGTAGTTCCTGACAGCTGAGACAGGTGGCGCTGTGATCACAGCGCACCCTGTCTCAGTGATAACACAGAGCAGACGAAAAACCTCCGTTTTTCGTCTGCTCTATGGTGAGCTCATGTTCCTTGGTTTCGGGTCCGCATGCAAGTCACAGTTGATGGCAGAAGATTAGATGCGTCTGGACGCATATGCAGGACGCATATGCACGTAGTTGCATGCGTGCGTAAGTCCTTAAAGCAGATAGGAGCATATTTTTGGCCACCTTGCTGGCCAGATTTTTTCTCTGCACATGGAGGCATGGGGTGTAAATGGCAAGTATGAATCTAGCTGTATGCCGCCTACCTTATGTATACGGGCACCTATGTAACCCTGGTTGGCTTTAGCTCACCATATGGGGGTTCCCCTGGACAGGATGTTGTTAGTGCATCCTTTTACCGGACGCATACAATTTAAACATCTATTGGACTGTTTATAGCATACGTTCTGTTAGTGGGTCTTCAATGGGGCATAGCTTTTTTCCAGGCTATTCCATGAATATCACTAGCTGTGTCTTGTATCCACCCCAAGCATGTCTTCAGGTGGTCGACTTCATGCTTTTCTGTTCGATTTTCACACAGGAGAATTGGCCTTATATCTGGGAGGGTGTCAAGGATGTATTTGCCCTGCGTGTGAATGGCTCAGGAATACTGCTGCATTCAGAAGGCTTTTTGCATGCTCAGGCACACGCTTTAGAGAAATGTTATACAGTCCAAAATCAAAAGCAGTGTGTTTGCATGCCTGGAATGTAACACATAGGTGTGATTTGAGACTATTGTTCTGGACACACACCCGAATGCAGGAGATATGGACAAGCCATAATAAACAAGATCACTGCAGAGACAGGCTACATACTTCAGGGTTCATGGTTGTGCCTGCACCTGTGTACTATAGGCATCGTGTAGAGATAAGTCTATTGGGTACAACGACATGGTCTGGAGTTTTTACCCCAACAGGTTCAGTATGTTGAAGTGACGACCTGCTTGTGTTTTTTTCCATACATCACCTGCTCTATTCTGCCTATAGTATCGGAGGGGTGTCGGACCTTAGGATCATAGGCCAGCCATATGATATTTGTTTTCCCTAGCTTCATATCTAACCCCTGCCAATTGCCTGACACTGCCTCCGTGGCCAGAAAGTCAGATTGAACTGTTCTAGGAACCGACTTATTTCCTCCTTCGCACCACCCATGGGTACAGTCAAGTATTGTGGCTCTACAGTTACAATGTACGGGAAGTGTTGTCATTCCTGCTTGGACAGTGCTCAGTTTGCCAAGCCATGTAACTGATAGCAGCACACGAGTATCAGTTGTATTCAGGGAGGACTGCAGGAGGCAGAACCCCCTCTGTGTTGGGGTCTGATTCATTTGTCAGGGGGCTGGTGGTTTTCCTGGCAATCCAATGTAAAAATGTTCTTCTCTTCCCTCTCATTGAATACTAATTATATGAACTACAATATCCCCGTATTGTGTATTACTGTGTTTTTTTGGCTGTGCAAGGGAATAGGAACCATTTCAATTGTTCTGTATTCCATTGTTCATCTGTTAGTAAACTCCATCACCATTTATAGTTAGTGACAAGCTACTATTATCCTTTTTATTAAACCTCCTGTAGATTCTTCTGCCAGTATGTTTATAACACAGCTTTTGTTTTGTCATGGACGGAATGTGTGGAATTACTTGATGGTAATATACAGCCCCGATGGCATGAAGCATTCTCCGAATGTAGGTCGGAGTTCAGGAATGTACAGAAGTGGTGTATTTACTGATGTATAATTGCAGCTGTAGCACATATAGGGCCCCTTCATACTATTCACATATGTTGCAGTAAAACATACGTGCTTTACTGCATGGTGTTAATCCTCTTCATTCCGATGTTACATGTACATATGAAAATGCAGCTCAATAACAAAGTTAAAGCAGTCAACGAACTGCTGCTATCCAGGGAAGACTGGCATAGTCAACGTTCACTTGGTTTATCTTTTACAGAATCCTTTGTAGCCAGATTCAGCAGGCTTAGTACAGTGCTTCTGAGCAGCGCAGCAAATCTCTGTGACCTTGTTTTATTACTGCAGTTTGTGTGGGGTCCAGGGAATACTTGGGCTGCAGGTTTGGCTACTCCCATGCAGGATAAATAACAAGATGGTAATACTGGCATGTAGCTTGTGAGTTCGCTACACAAGATAAATGCCAAGATGGAAATCACTGCCACTGAAGTCAACACAAGCCCAACCAACAGGGCATATCTTCCTGGTGACCTCGTATACACAGCTCAGGTAATTTAGTGTCTTAGCTATTCTGATTAATTACCTCCTGGATAGTTACAAATGATGAACTGCTAGTGAGATTTGAGAATGGGGCTGGGAAATGGTGCACTAAAGTATTACTCTGCCTTCCCTGTACACCTTTTTCTGTGGTTTTATGATTTTTAGAGAGACTGTACTTTAGCACAGCAATAGCTTCTGACTTATGTGATGTGTTCAGAATGTGTACATTTTGCATTATGCAAGAAATCTTTTTAACTGCCCTTGAAGCTTGGCATCCCCTAATAGAGCTCGGTTATTACAGGCTTACATTGGATCTGTCACATAGGCTGTGAAAATCATGCATGTATCCCGGGGGGTGGCTGGTAAGGAGAACAAATGGCATATTCCACTGAAGGCAATGATCTGGAAATTGATCACCAACGCTGAGACGATTAGAGGGCCCATTCCAGTGCTTAGCATACTCTGGCAGTACATCAGAGAGCAGTTATACATGACTTGTAGAGCTCATAGATGGTACAGACCATATCGGCAATTGCAATACAGAACACATAACTGGAAACAGACATACTGTTTGGTAGGGTTCACAACATCCCAAATGGCCCATTATAGCAAAAATAGGTTTTACAATAGGTTCTATGCTTCTAGATGCTAAATGTTCAGCTAAATGCTTGTGCGTGTCTTTGTCTCTTGTTAAGTTGGTAATAGTCCATCATTCTGAGACGGCTCATTGTGTCTCCAGCAGTCATAATCTTCATTTCCCTATTTACTCTTTTTCTTCATAAGGGGTCCACACCTGGTCAGTGGAGACCAGATCCAATTGTCCCAGCGATTGTGACCGTAAGGACCCCCAAATGCCACTAAGACCAATTGTGGGCAAGTCCATCATTCCGTGATGAAATAAATGGTCACCAACACTCCATGTTTTCTTCAAAACAAAATCCTTTTATTCATTCTAGCAGGTCATATCACCATGCGTGGCATTGTTCAACCACTTGAGTCCCAGCCACCATTTAAAATAGTGCTTGGATAGCAGCGGTTTGCCCTAGCACCATTTTTTTTTTTTTTTAAACCTGCGGCTGGTCGGAGTGGCTCCTGGGGGTCCTTTTGGTCATCGCAGGGACCATTGTCTCTATCAACTGGGACCCAGCACTAAGCACAGTAGTTGAAAGGATCTCCACTGACCAGGTGTGGACCCCTTATGAAGAAAAAGAGTAAATAGGGAAATGGAGAAGATTATGACTGCTGGAGAGACAATGAGCTGTCTCAGATTGATGGACTTGTACCCAACTTAACAAAAAGAAGAGACGCACAAGCATTTAGCTGAACATTTAGCATCCAGAAGCATAGAACCTATTGTAAAACCTATTTTTGCTATAATGGGCTATTTGGGATGTTGCGAACCCTACCAATATTAATTTCTTCATCGCGTGTCTTGCTTTTACGAGTCTCTCGTATTCACTTTCAACAATAGGGTTCCGTTGTTTGTCTTCTAAGAATACTGTTCCACATTTGGGCTGCATTCTCTCATGTTCTAGCTGTATAAGCACCCTATTGAATTGACGAATTGCTTCCAACAGGTGCATGCGAGGGGACGCTGGCCTGCTCTACCTGTCACCTCCTCTTTGAAGATCACATATTCCAGAAGCTGGAATCGGTCACCGATGAGGAAATGGACATGCTGGATCTTGCCTATGGACTCACTGAAACGTAATCTTATTCATCTGCTCTCATCTCAACCCCTGAAAGGGAAATGTAGTTAAAATGAAAACCTTACATTTGTATTTCTTTATAGTTTGCAATAGTTTCTACACTATTGTAGCATAGCAGCGGTCTAGGTTTTATCAGGACTCCATAGCACGTAATAATATCACAATTCAATTGTATGTAAGCCCAACAAAAACCAATTCAAAATATTGTGGCTTAGCAGTCCTTGGATGTGGTGGCTGCATTGGTGGAGTTTTCTTTTGTTGATCCTGACCATAACACACTTTGTTTCCTAGGATGAGAAGGCTCGTTAAGACATTGTCATCTTTGTTAGTAAAAGAGGAGGGGTTGTGTACGTCTTCTGACTCCTTCAGGCTATTTTTACTCTGCTTTTCTTTCACATTGTCTTTACAAAAGCACAATAATACAGGTGTGTAAAACTGGAAGACACAATTGGCATATTACATGGCTATTGACCTCTTATATGCACACACATATTGCTCACCATATCAATGAAAACTACATTGTGCAACAAAGTCAATAGTAAACAAAAAGATGCCCCAGCGCTTGAAAGGAGCAGAAAGATGCCTAAATCATAAGCACTCTATTCAAAAACTAATGGGTAGGTATAAGAAAAATGAGATGTAGATTGGGCAGGTTAAAGGATAGAGATGGGTAAGGGGGTAGTAAAGAGGGTGAAGACTATTGTAGAATGAGAGGAAAAGCGCGTACCAGCCCTCACAGCTATGCCTAGCAGGAAGAAATAAAACAAAAGACAAAGGTGTCCGCATCAATATGTTCTGCAGGACTAGGTAGGGATGAAAAAAATCCCTTTGTTGGAATTACTTATAGATCATCCAAGCCCCCAACATGATCTCAAACTTATTGGTGCTGTCATACTCTATAGCCGCCAGACATTCTATATTCATGATACCATTTGTCTGCCCACAAAGAGGAAGAAATCTCAAAATTGCCCAGGAATTATTATTAGTGCAACTTTTGGAGAGCTATGGACTTCATCAAGATCAGTTGAATTGTACAAGCCTATAACTTTATCCCTAAAAGTTCATATTCCCACCAAGTTTGTAAAAATGAACCAGCATATTGATGACAAACCTCAAACTGGGCAGGGTAGTTTGCATGTCATATACAATGGGTTGAGTGTTTTTGAAGTTTGTGTTAATAGAGAGGTCAACATGGCTTTCGACTAAAAGGAATACACTTTACAGAGGATAGACCTTGTGTAGAGTTTCCCATACAGGCTGTAAGTGGGAAAACGCAAAATAAAATTTACCCTATTAAAGTGACACTGAACTCAGGAGTTAAATCCTAAATATGCCTTCAAATATATTTTACTATTAATGAAAATCTATCTTATTTGTGTATCATTCAGATCCTCAAAGCGTCTCTGAATTGGTGCTGACACTGTCCTTTCTTCTGGAGGCTGGCTACTTTTGTCCTCCATGGTCCCAGTGTGTGTTCTAAAGTAACCTCCGCTCCAAGCTCAATCCTGTGATGGATTACAATCTCACGTTTATTTGACCAATTTGTATTAAGACTGTAGTCCATCACAGGAGTGAGCTTGGAGTGGTGGCTACTTTTGTTCCCAATGGTCCCTATGTGTGTTGTAAAGTAGCCACCACTCCACGCTCGTTCCGGTGATGGACTACAGTCTTAATACAAATTGGTCAAATAAACATGAGATTCTAATCCATCACGGGAGTGAGCTTGGATCGGTGGCTACTTTACAACACACATTACATAATACAGTAAACTCTCAGTAAACTCTCAGTTATCCGGTATTCAACTAACCAGAACTCTCATCTAACCAGAAAAAATCCCCAGTCTACTCACTGTTTTGCTGATCTGTGGCATGTATTCTGGAAATGATTGTGTGTCTATTTGTTTTTGATTACTGCATTTCAATATTAATATGAAGTCAATTTATTTTAGACCTATTTTTAATAGTAATTCTCAAGCAACCAGAAACTACATTTTATCTGGAATCTACCAATCCCCGTGGATGGCGGATAACGGAGTTTACTGTATTGTCTTTGGGAACAAACCAGGCTTTCTTTAGGCAATATTGCCTTGCTACAATTATTTTTTTAATGTAATTTTTAGACCGTTAAAAAAAAAAAGAAATATTTTGACCTGTGCTTTTATCTCCTCGCTATCATTACACTCAAAATGGACTGTGAAGCTGCATACTAGGGTGAAAAGATGTTCAGGACATGGGTTGGCAAAAAATTAGGTGACCACGAATTTGATTATAATTCAAAAAGAGTGATTGAGAACACATTCAATCCAAATGTGCACAATTCACATTAGTAAATGCTAACACCATGCTGCAATGAAAAAAGTGGTTGTGGAGAAACTCCTTTTCTTATTATGGGAAGGGGGGTCCTCGGGCCAGATATTTTTGATCTGGTTGGTTGCCTGGATCATACTTTTGACTTTTTAGAAAACGTAAAAATATAGCAGGGTAAATGGCAGGTAAGCAGAAGTTGGATGCAGAGATCTTATTGCCAGAGTCCCCGCAGACATAAGAAGTCGAATGTACTGTACTGAACTGAATTTGTAGTATCGGACCTGGTGTTTTTTCTCCCACTGAGTATAATATAACCCTTTTTTCTCTTCTAGATCACGATTGGGTTGCCAAATTCTACTCCAACCATTCATGAATGGAATGACCGTAAGGGTCCCGGAATCTGTAGCAGATGTCCGGCAAGCAATGGATATGGGCAAGAACTCTTGAAATACACCAAATAAGAACCAATATATTAACTTTTGACATGTTTTGGTTTTTTCTTTATTTTTATAATAGTTCTTAATCCTATGTAATGAGTTGCATTAAGCTCCTGTTAACAAAATGTATTTTTAAATATGCATTCAATTTTTTTAATTGTTTTTTTTTTTTTTTTTTTTTCACCTACCTGTTTCTCACTTAGTGATTGGGAAGTAGCTGTGATATCTGCATATTGTAGTGATAAGACAGGTCACCTTTTTAATAGTTTGGTGCTGTCTAAATAATGAAAGCTGACTGTAGGCTTCTGATTTTTGTTAGTAGCTATTGGAAGCACATGTTCCGTGGCTCCTAGGCTGAACTTTCTGACTCCAGAGAGCTGCATGAATTTCTCCACAACTGGACATTTTACTGCATTCACCATGATGTCTTTGCTGATGCACATCAGAGTCTTCTGCTTGCTGTGGCACCAGGGGGGCGACTTCCATTGGCACAGAAACTATGCATGGAGACACCAGATGTTCCCCTATAGGAGCCACAACTCTAGCCCTATCCAACCTTTGGAGCATGGCCTTGGTTGCACCCTCCATCCCTACATACACCCACAAAACTACTGCAGCCTCATAGTCCACAGTAATATTTTTTATTTGTTGGTACCTTTGTGGTATAGAAGTGCAAATTGCAGGTGTGGTTGTCAGCAGTTACCCACAGCAATCAGTAAATCCTCACGTTATTGAAGTCAGATTGCTGAAAGATGCTCGCTGTAGGTAACTAGTCTTTATCCACTGCTCTCGGCCTTCTCAGACAGGCTGCTTATGTTTAATACTGAATCTTTGGAAGTGATTGCTGTCATTTTATACTTGAGAAGAAAGAAATTGGTTATAGGGAGGATTATACCTCTTTATGCAACAGTGTAATTAGGATTTTTCAGGAGAGTAAACCATAGCCATCAAGTACTATTACAAATATGTATGCTGATTTTTAGAATACTACAATGCATTAAATTGTTTTTCAATAAAGGTTTTCAGTTATTTTCTCTGCCCTAAAGCAGTTTATCACACCAGATTATTATGCTGGCCATGTACATTTTGACCACATTGAGCAATCATGAAAATTCACTTACTTACATTATTATTATGCTTGCATTGTTTCATGTAATATAGTGAAAATTAGTTTTAACATTTATACAGGAATTTGCTTATTAGGTTTTGTTAAAGTGTATCTAAAGGCAAAACTTTAAAAAAAAAAATGTTTAGGGTTTTTTTTTGTTTTGCCATCTGTGTTCCATTTGAGATATTTTGCTTCCAATTCCTCTCCTATAGACACAGAATGAAGTAAGAGGGAATCAGAAGGATGTCCCTTCTTAGAACGTTTTCACAGGAAGAAGGGTCCCAGTAAGAAGATTTCTGCCTTATTCCTGTTCTGGTGACGACTCAAAATTTTGGATTTCCCATCATTTTCAGTCCCAGTGATAATGGTCAACAGGAGAGGTTGAATCTCCTCTGTGGGGCAGAGGCTAAAACAACAAGATCTGATGGGGCTCTGACCCCTCTTCAAAACTAGAAAAGTTACTAGGTATACTTTTCAAAATACTTTAATAGATCAAACTGTGACCCTTGGTGAATATTTAGTGCCCTCCATGGTTGCAATCATCAAACCTCGCTGCTCCAGTGACACATTATACACCTAGATAGACATGAAAAGGCGACTCTAATATCAGAAGTAAAACAAATCTAGCAGAAGTGCTTATCTAAAAGTAATGCCGGGACAAACACAATGTGGTATATAACTGCTTTAGAGATTACTGTGTATATATCTCATCACATTCCTGTGTCACTGTACCATATCTGCTCTATGTTGTAAAGAAAGAGATTTTCCTATGAATTTGGTGTATAGATATTGAAGGGTATGCTCTTCTAAGTGTATCTATATGGATCTCTGGGAGTCCACAATCAATGGAGAGCTCTACCAAAAAAAGGTAGCTGGGTTGTACTTGTATACCACAGCAATTACACTCTGAAGGGAATTTATCAAAACTGGAGCAGCTGCGCATGTCATGTAAGGGCATTCCAACACCTAGTCAGGTAGACCGCAATTTGTCATATCAAATCTGTCATAAGATGGCCAAGATTTTATAGATGGAACCTATAAACCTAAAATATGTTCCTGTATAGATTCTCTCGGTGCCATTTATGTGTGAACGTTCCCTTAATTGGGCAAAGCTTAATTTTTCACAATTAGTCCCTGTTCACACTTAGGGTAGTGGGGAATGCATGTCATGTTCGTGCACATTTGTTTGCCACATGTCACTCATTGATTTCAATGGGTTCCTGCACACATGACATGTGGAATTGTAGCTCTCTTAGCAAATTCTGCGACAGGCATCCCACGTTTTGCCCCACTGCATTTGGGGTTTCATTAACTGGTAATGGCACTGTAAGTGTGTTGCGTGTTTTTGAGTTTCCAGAGTTTGGCATGCGATCAAAGAACACCTGGGTGTGAACTGGGACGAAGGGCTGCTGTACAAGCTATTCACTAAAGCCCGTTCAGCTCCCGAAGTCGAACGAGCGTCTCAGTCGAGCCGAAGGCATATGCTTCGGCTTGACTGAGCAGAGGTGAAAGCTGAAGCTGGCCGAGGGGCCGGCCTACAGCCTGCTTCTTACAGCTAGGCGGAGCCAGCTGTGATCCTATGGCTGGCTCCGGCCACTTGCACAGAGATCAGTGTCCCTGGTTACCAGCTAACCAGATGAGCACAGCCTTTCAGGCTACAGTTAATTGACACACTGGAGTCTTCAGCCTACTTTTTAAAGTGCTTGGCCTCCAGTATGTCCCTGTGCCTTTTGAGGAGTCAATCCAGGCATACCTGCGTTCAATTCATTCACTGCTAAATATGCTCCAACATGGAGGCTGTCAAAGATTAGAGTTAGGACCACTCTACACAGAAGGGCCTTGACAAGGCAGTGTGGCCTCCTCATATTTTGCAAACATTGTGCAACTAAAACCTCTTTTAACGCTTATTCTTAGACTGTGCAATTTGTTTTTTTGCAGTCTAGGGGGTAAGTGTGCTGGGAAATGTTGTGTTTTATATTGAGAGAGAACACCTACCTGCTTCTGCAGCATCTCTCCCTCACTGGCAAAACTAGCAAAGTGTGTTCTGTTGCTGCTCTGTCTTTGGCAAGCTGGACTCTACAATGTTTCAGCAACAAAGAACAGTGCCGTGAGAGCTCCCTTTAGCAACCCTGTTGCTGGCGAATTGCTGCTGTCGTTAATGTAACATAACATGGCCCCTTAGCCTAGGTTAACACTGGTGCCGCTGAATGATTATGCATTTTTGTAGCACATCTTTGATGCATTTTCATGCTTCAGGCATTATTTTTATTTTTTTTGGTCCATGAAAAGCAATATCTGCTGTGATATCATTACATGTCATCTTCCTTTGAGGAGACTTTAAGCACAAAATGCACCCAAAGCACATCTACATGCATTTTTCATGTGCTTGCATGGATGTCTATGGGTCCAAAAACACACTGAGGGGAATTTATCAAATCTGGAGCAACTGTGCATGGCAACCAATCAGCTCCTCTTTCATTTTGAAATCCTAACTGAACAAACTGAAGAGAGAAGCTGATTGGTTGCCATGGGCAACTGCTCTAGTTTTTTGATAAATTCTCCCCACTGTGTAGCACCAAAAAAAAGCAGTGGCACCTTTCTAAAAAAGCGCACTGCACAATGTTGTGTTGATATGAATGGGCACCATTAAGACTATAGCATTGTAGCTAGGATTTCTGCGTGCATCAGGTATGGTAGGTAGTCACCTGTCTGCCAAGGTCTTCAGTACAAATAATGAGGGGAAATCCGCACAAAGAAGACACAATCGGCTATAAAAACACAACAGAGAGTGTAGCCGTCTGCCAGTCTACCTAAAACTAGAAAGAAAAGTTTGGACTGGGGTTCCCCTTTAAGGGGTTTTTTTTTTTTAAGGTGTTCCAGATTTTGCCTAGATAGATGATATAACCTAGTACATTTCTGGTTTCATTTAAGAACCTCTTGTCGGATTGGGATGTATGCAGACACAATGGCAATGTACTTCGAAGTTCAAGGCTATCAAAACTGAGCTGGTCATCTGTAAGATGAAAGAGCAGAAACAGATGGCTGACCGGTCCTCACTCACTTTCCCTGTTTCTGGAATGAGATCATCGTGAGCTAATTGCTCGGGCACCCCTGTGGGCTTGTTCCTTTTGTAGTTGTGTCTGCGGAGGGCAAACATTTCAGAGGCCTTGCTTCTGTCATCTGTTTTGGTGTCTTCATCCTGACGGTTTTCATGTTCAATCTCATTACTGAAGTTTTATTCCAGAATTGCCGGTAAAAACCCACCACAGAGCCGAGCTGCATCACGGGGATCATTCCTGTGACTGCATTTGTTTTGAATATATTAGTTAACGTCAGTGCCACTGAATTCCATATTACCTGCTGTGATATCCGCAAGGAAAAGAATTCCCGTACTTGCCGCAAATGATTGGTGCAACTTCTATGAAGTCATGCTATTCTTGCAGCTTCTGATTAATCACGGTGACCTTTACAACCTATATTATAGAGCTTGTATACTTAATTGCAGTAACCCATGACAACCAATAGTAATACAAACCAAAACAAGATGGATTCTGATTAGTTGCTAAGGGTTACAATTAGGGATGCACCTGATACTTTTCAAATACCAGTGCCGATACTTGGCATTTTCATGAGAACTACCAGGGTCGCAGCGGTTGCAGCTGGGACCGGGCTCTGGCACTCCACCACTGTCCTGAAATCATTTCTCTGTATTGTTTTAGAAAAACTGTCACATGACAATAAACAAAAATGTATCAGTACTTGCATCTATCAGTACTCTGTATATAACAAATCATACATTAAAACAGGGATGTACAAATCCCAGGAGCCCTGTAGCCAATGCTCCTGAATAATGGCAGCTGCCTCCTAACTATTGAGTTTTTCTCTAGTGTAGTCCTGGAGCTGCAAA